GCTCCTATCCTAACCCTAACCCGTACCTCTACCCCCCCACAGCTCCTTCTGTAGTCCCTCTACCTCTATCTCTATCTCACCACTGACTCTGATCAGTGTTTCTCCTCTATATAGCTTATTGTCATAGTGATGAGAAATGTAATATTGTGTCTACTCTGTAAGTCGCTTTGGATAAAAGCGTCTGCCAAATGCATAAACAGAAACATAAACATAAGTGGCTGTCTGAATGAGGTTGTATGATCCTACGTTTTCTGCTCTCTTCCTTGCACAGCTTAGACAGGATGATATATAATGCCAGCACGTGTTCTCGGGGCCAACTGAATGTAAGACGAAACAGAAAGGGCGAAAAAAAATGCCTTCAGAGTCTTCTAATATTGTCACGTTTATTCCAGTGTGTTGGGATTCAAACCAATTATGCGTGACTCACAGCACCTGTTCTGAACTGGCTCAACTTTAATGGACGTCAAAGACGTGCAGGTGTGAAAAAGCCCGAGGGTCTGTTTTAATTTATCGCTCTGTGTGAAACTTTCAAAGACAAACATATCTGATGCAAGTTGAAATGTGTCTGGTTACATCAGACACATTTCCAGCATGGTTGTCAGGCACCTCATTTTTTAACCTAAAACTTTAAGTACATCTGTACATTCTGCTCTAGAATATGTCAGAAGCATGACAGCAGGGTGGTGCTAAGCAGACTAAAACTAAGTAAAAATTCACAAGTATAACACATTTATGAAGGTAGAAATATGAAGATCCAAAGCAAAATGGTGAAGAAAACAACATAAAAGCTCTGACTCTTTTCTGCTTGTTTTCTTTTTCTTTTCTCCAGACATGATGGCAGTAGGCTGTGACCTGAATGGAGCCCATTATGAGAACGGAGAAGCTTTCCAGCCCAGCCCGCTCTATAAATGCACGTGCATTGGTGGGGCCATCGGCTGCACGCCGGCTTTTATCCAGAAACCCGCGGGCCTCCTGGGCCCCGCTCCGCTGATGGGGAATACACCAGCCGGCCTCCGAGGAGGTCAGAGCCCCAACAAGCACCAGCAGGAGACCAACTACATCTCAGGTGTGTGCTAAACAGAGTCGGAAGATTACATTATCCAGGACAGCGGTATGGACAGGGAAAGGACTCCTTATTCTTCTGACAATATGTGATAAAGTACAATACCATTACCCCATTACAGAGGAGAACAGATAGATGGATGCATCATTTCATGCATCCCATTTATCTTTCTGGAAGTGATCCATCTTCTGTTATCTGCTTATCTTAGGTCTGGTCACAGGGGCATGAAGCCCAGGAATTACATTTAATCTTCAGACATGATGCCTTCCCACTATCTTTCCACGATAAAGAGCGCATTGGACAGTTTTCCATGTTCGCTGTATGTAGACCAATAATGTGAGGAGGATTTCCCATAATTACTGGATGCTTCTTCCATAGTGATTGTTTAAGAAATGAGACACCACCTTCTGCATCCACATCCTCTAAAATATAATTTAACAGTACTTTTCAAATGCTGGCTACCTAGATGGTTGGTGTATTCAGAGTTTTGGGGCGGACACGATAATCCGAAAGGCTTGATTGTGGTGTAGGGTGTTAATGACACAGTGCCCTTTAACTACAACACTGAAAGCTTACAGGGATCCTCCTTTAGCCTGGAGGAAGAACTGTTTGATCCAGACCACCCCCTGGAGCCCCTGCTCTAAGACCTGCGGCCTGGGCATCTCCGTGCGGGTCAACAACGACAACAGCAAATGTGAGATGAGGAAGTACCGGCGCCTGTGCCTGCTGCGGCCGTGTGACCGGAGTCTGCTCAGGAGCGTTAAGGTACCGGCCGCGTCACTATCGTAAAACCACTTCCAAAATGTCTGGATACCATGTAACAGGAAAATAAAGCAGATTGCAATTATTATTTTATGCAATCTGTTGTGGCCATTTAAGTTAACTTTTCGTCATTCACATGTTCTGTTTAGTTTTAAATAGTTGAAATGTTTAATTTGCACAGAACCATTTTGAATTTAATTGTTGGGATTTATTTAGTAATTTTCCAAGCTCCTCCCATTAATTCGGAAGACTTAGAACAGCCAGGGGTTGTGGTGGGGGGGGGGGGGGGGGATTTAAAAGGCCGTGACACAATCATAAACCAATGTTTCATTCAAAGAAGAAAGTCCAAAATGCATCAAGAGCTGAACATTTTTAATATTGTGATAAAAAATTTATCTAATTTTAAATTAATCGGCAGCAACAAAAGTCAGAACGGAGGCAACAAATGGCTGCAAAAGTAAGCCGTTCAGCACAGAAATGACAAGGTGGGCACATTGCAACTAATCAGGCTAAAAACCAGCAGACCAGTAAGATGACTGGATAGAAAGCAAAGACCTAAGAGAGACTTTAAGAAGCAGAGATGGACTGAGATTCAATGGGGGCAAGAAACCTTCAAGAAACTCTGAAGCTGTTTTGGAATTTTAGCAATGCATGATTTAATTTAATGGGTCCTAATTAGGTGTGTCGGAGCAAGCAGACATGGAAAATATGCGTGCCTTGAGGACCAGGTTCATGCAGGACTGATCCCAAGCTCCTAATATCATCACAACACTCGGTGAACAAGACACACAGCTGAAAAACAATCTGACATGTCCCTGATGTTCCATGGACGATCGCTCAATGGGTTCAGAGACAGGTTCCACAATTCTGTGGATTTTAGCCAATTCAAAGAGCGGCAATCTCCTCCGGTCTCATTGGATTTAAACTGGAATCATATATAGAAATGACGGATGCCATATCCTCTCTACTAGGGATGGGAATCTTCACCACCAAGGCGATACGATACACATCTCGATACACAGCCAACGATTCGATACATTCACGATTCATGGAATTTCTAGTGATAAGATTCGATACGATTCTCCAACCTCCTGCGATCCGGTGCGATACAGAACGATCTAAATTTAAAATGCTGCGATACAGTGCGATACGATACGATACAATACGATGCGATGCAATGCAGAAGAAAAGTACACCATGGACTACATAGTTCAAGTTATGGCACGCAAGCTAACTGTGCCTTTTATTTTGAAACAAAGGAAGTGCAACTTAGAGAGTGATTGTCTCTCTGAATGGAAACAGGGATGGAAAGAAACGCAACTAACACTCAAAGACACGTTTCTAAAAAGTTATAATAATAGAAGATAATAATCGGTTTGTATCGATGCAGGTAGTTTTATACGATGCATCTCGAGTTTATGTGCGGTTTTTACCGATGCAGACGTTTGCAAATCGATGCAACCGTATCGCACAGGTCGTTCCGATGTTCCGATACGCATCGGTGAATCTTGCCATGCCTACTCTCTACTGAAGAGAAGAGGGACTATCCAGCCTGAAGCTCTGATGGTTTTGGGTGCATTTGGGAGGATGGAGCTGACTACTTTTACATCTGGAAGGGCTCAGCCAGTGCTGAAGGTTGATGCCGGTTTTAAAGCAACATCTGCTCCCATCCAGACTCCTCCTTCAGGGACTGGCTTGCACGTTTCCGCTAATCCTCTTAAACCACATCCGGCATCAATTACAGCAGCACGGTTTCACAGCAGACGTGTTTGGATGCTGGGGTGGCCAGATGTTTGATCATGTGATGTATGGAGCATCATAAAACACAAACGAAGACAAAGAACTAGAACTAAGAGCTAGCATTCCGGTCCAGACAGGAATGGGACAGTAGGTTCCAGAAACTTTTGCCCTAAGTTGCTAGCCATCTATAGACGTTGCACATTACAGTGGTACACATGGTCCTGGACCAAATTTGTGATGTGTTTATGCAAAGACGAACATAAAAGCTCCAAAAAAGGCTTCTGAAAACTTGCTTTTTAGCCAAGTTCCAAGAAATAAAATGTAATGTAATGTAATTTTTTATGGAGCAAAACAAGATCTCTCTCAACATCTGATCTGTTCTCTAAGCAATTAGGAGAATTAATATTGGTTTATCAAAGCGACTAACCATTGCTTTTGCTTTCATGTGACGTTTTTTTTTAACCGTATTTTACCAGGTTTTTATATCCCGATCAAAAAGGTTCTAATCGGTGTTTTCCCATTCTAGGTCCCAAAAGGAAAGACTTGTCGACCGAAATTCCAGGCGAAACAGGCCGAGAAACTGACGCTCTCCGGCTGCACCAGCACCAAAAAGCTGAGACTGAACTACTGCGGCGTTTGCACGGATAAGCGCTGCTGCCTCCCCAACAAGTCCCGCATGATCAAGGTGAGCTTCAGCTGCAAGGGGGGCTCCACCACGCAGTGGAGGATGCAGTGGATCACCTCCTGCGCGTGCCACCAGAAGTGCAACGATCCGGGAGACATGTTTTCCGAGCTGCGGCTGCTTTAAAGGGGGGATACCGAGGCCCAGGACCCCAGCCCCCAGCCACAAACGAAGCAATTAAAACAAATAAAACCCTGATTGGAGAAAGAAAACAACAACTGGAGATCAATAAATAAATGAGGAAACTTGAAGTAGTTATGGTCAAAGCATTTTTAAAGGTTATTACTGGCCTGCAGTAATCAGAGGACACTGAGCAGACACACTTGGCTAATTATAAATTTGCATATTAAAAGCACTTTTTGAATCATAACGTTTGGAGCACACACCACCTTTATGTCTTTAGCTGATGCACTTACAGACTAGTAGTTACAACTGGGCTAGGCTTAGTGCTTCGCTTTGGGGGGGCCTTAATGGATAGGTGCCCTAGTGAAAATTTGAACCCCCGACTTACTTTTCCAAAGACAGAGGTTTCAACACCACGCATCAACGCAAGACGATATAAACAACAACAAAGAATTTTATTCCATGTCTCAGTTTCTGGAATTACAAACAGCAAAAAGTTCAAATGAGCCAGCAGATGTACAATTTGCAGATCTCAAAGGAGGAGAAATTGTGCCTCAGCTCACATACAGACAGAGTCAAAACTAACTAATGTTGCTTTATCTGTTTTTGATGAACACCCACTCAGGAAGCAGTGCAGGACTAAATACGAATCAAAAAACAAATGCTTATTTTCTTTTTAAAGTCTCAACAACAACGCTGAGGTGAACATTTCTAACGCCAGATTTATGGAGAATATTGTAAAATCAAGGAATTACTGAATGGAGGTGGTGGAAAAGTTGTTTTTTTTTTTTTTGCAAAACTGTTTTTAATTCCATAGGCTTGATTTAGGTTTTAAAGAATATAAAATTGTCTGTAGGCATGTTCTTGGGCACGCGGTCTTTTGTAAATACTTACAACCTGATATGAACTCAATCAGAACATTGTACAGAATGAGTCAAACTCAAATGTTTCTTTCATGCTGTTCCATCATTTCGGGGCATAAACTGATAAAACTATACAAAAACATGTTTGTGTAAAACGATTTCTCAAAGAAAAACAAGAACAAGGACACACCTGAACAAAGATGGCCGACAAAGCGGACCTCTATCTGGCGATGTTGAGCCTGGGGGCATCAGGCACGAGTCTGGCCTTAGTGGCATCCAGGTGATGATACTCTTCAATGAGTGAGCTGAGGGAGGAGATGGCCTCTGAGAATACGTCCTCCTCCATCCCTTCCACATGCAGGTAGTGGTGTAAGTGGGCCTACAAAGAGAAAAAGAGTCTAATAAAGTTTGGATATACACCACAGTCTTGACTTTCTCCATCACAAAATGTGCAAACACTCACATTCAGGGGTACAGGAAAGGCATAGGGGAGAACATTGTGGAAGATAACTTTTCCTTTGTGGAGAAACATGTCCTCTAGAGCAGTGTTTTTCAACCACTGGTCCTCGGTACACTAGTGTGCCGTGAGTGATGGTCAGGTGTGCCGTAGAAAATCATCCTATTCACCTAATTTGTCTAAAAAGATTTTTCGATAAGGAATTAATTATCTGCAAATAATTTTTGAGTGTCTGTGCTGTAAAAGTGACTGGTGGAATAATCATGTAATAATTCCTTAAGACTAGATTTTGTATATAATTTTGTATATTGAAGTGGACATGTTAAGAGCAATTTGAAAGAAGAAATATAAAATACGTTTTTGTGTTTATTTGATTCCTATTCAAGACACTTAAGATAAGATAATAATAACTATAGTGTTACTTTAGGCGGCTACAGATTTGTTTGACATTTTTGGTTGGTGGTGTGCCTCGTGATTTTTTCAATGAAAAAAGTTACCTTGGGTCAAAAAAAGGTTGAAACACTGCTCTAGACTGAGCTCTCATCTGACCAGTCCACATACAAGTAGCGACTGTTTGGGACATTATCTTAAGAATCAATGAATGAATGGTCATTCGTACTATTGAAATCATCACACCCAAAGAGGTTGGATTTTACCCGGGAGCTTTGCACGCTCACCTTTTTCCGGTAGAGCTTGGTGAAGCGTTTTCTGAGCTCGGTGAATGTGAGCTTCACACAGGTGTTGTTGGCCAGAGCCAGCAGGGAGTGGGAGTGACCGACGGGAGGCACCGAACAGAGACCCGTCTTCCAGCCTTCCTGGTTCCACGAGACAAAGGGCAGGGAGGACCTCAGTCTGGGGGCAGAGGGGGAAAAGTCGTTTATAGGGTGTAAAAAAAATCAAATTACTAGCAGTGAAATCCTCCGTTTGTTACAGAAACTCAGAAAAGTCAAAGTAGTAATTAATAATATCTGTAAACTAAGTGATAATCATCAAAGTATTTCTGTTTCTGATCATTTTAATAATGGATACAAAATACATTCTTTAGTCAGGACTACTAGTATCGACATTTTACAGCATGTTGCTAAATGTTTGGAGGAAAAAAGCAGTGTAACTCACACTCTTGAGTGCTTACACTGTTCCCAACATCCATCTATTCCCTACACTTTTTAAAAAATCCTAATCTATCCCAACTACTGGTCCATCACTGGACACAAACAAGCATGTATCCTATGCTAATCTGTACAGTCAGTGTCAGTTATTGACTGAATGTGCTTGCTGTTGGACTGTAAGAGGATATAAGCACGGGGGGGGGGGGCATCAAGACTGGGCCCCCGCTGGGATCCTGTGTTCGGGTTTCTTCTGAAAACAAGCTCTGTACGGGAGTGCAGGAGCAAGGTGTCCGCTGAAGGCGGCCAATCATGAATCACGGCTGCTGGTGCTGAATGCGGGTATTATTGGGAAGCATGTGTGTGGAGGTCAGCTTTGGGTCCATCAGGAGCTTGTCGGCTGTTTAGGTGAAGGGGGAGGGGGGTGGGTTAGAGGGAAGACAGTGTTCTGACCTTTCTATATTCCTGCGGAGATCAGACACCTGCACGTTGCCCCTGAGCATGAGTGCACAGGCCAAGTAGAGGCTGTGCTTTGGGTCAGCCCGGATAAGCTGGTGGTCTTTACTGAAGGCGTCGCTGAACATCTGATCCAGCCTACGGGGTTGAAGGACAGTTGAAGACTCTTAAACGATAAAGCAATGGATATGTCCACCCCACTTCTACTATTTCTAAGTGTTCTCTTTTCTGTACAAATAGCTGTGTGTTTGGCATATAGATGAGGCCGTGAAGTTAACTTTATTATTTACGTTCTGCTTTGGCCCAAAGAGGCCAACGTTTCACAAAGGCTCGTTTCTTCCCCCTTATTTATGAAAGGATGTGGGCAGGCCGGATATTTTTAAGCAACACCCTGCTCTGCATTCACAAAGTCATATGTATTTACTTCTGAGAGCTATTCAGTACAACCATAACTCTTTTTGACCAATGAGGAGCTTTAGAGGAGCACATGGCCTCTCAGTGGCTCACAGCAGGCTTTTTTAAGGCGGCTGTTGTTGGGTAGGAAGAAAGTTCATAGATTTTTTCCCCCATTTTAGCCCTAGATTTTAAGCTCAAAATTGCTGTTGTTCTTAAATATAAAAGAAGGGGTTCCAAAAATAAAGCCTTATGTTTAAAGCAATACCTTTGTTGGTAAAAGAAGACGAGTTCCGGTAAAGATATTCAAACGCTATTTTGTTACTCCACATACTCCAGACTTGAGTTCTAACATATTCTAAATACATCAAAAGACTTAACGTCATGAATAAGAGAGGATGACAGCCACTTGGATCATTTATCACCTTTAAGGTCCCAACGTTTTGCATATAAACACGTCTCCGCATCATCCTTATACAGACTGCGGCTCTAGCCCTTTTGCCTCCCCCTGTCATGATGCATGATGTATCTGTCCCGTGAGACTGCCGCTTCATCATGTTTTCAGAACATTTCGGCGAGGCCATCACAGAGGGGTTCACGTGGGCTCTACAGGACTCACAACAACTGCGAGGTAAAAATAGCCGCAATGACAACCGGACGGCAGACCTTCTGCTGGGGACGTTGACATCTGCCAGTGTGTAGAGCGGAGTGAGGCTGGGCACTAGGTAGTGTAGGCGAGGGAAGGGAACCAGGTTCGTGGAAATCTCATTCAGATCCATGTTAAGGGACCCTTCAAACCGTGCCGAGCTGGAACAGAAAGGACAGTTAGAGTGAGGCATACCACTAAACTCAGAGAGCTCAGAGCAGAGGTGATTTTTTTTGGTCATGGTTATTTTTACTCAATCTAAAAAAAATATTTTCAAACCTCTAGACTGGCACCATCAAAAATAGAGCTGAGCGTATGTCTTCTTATGTTTATTGACAATAATACACATTTATTTCTACAAGCAGGAAGGACCTCTAGGAGATTCTTTTCCCCTTTTTCTGGATATGTACATTTATGCCTTTTCAATTAACTAAGCAAGGAACACCTCAATTATCCAAAATTCTGGATTCCGATGAGTAATGCATTTTTAAACTCATACTTAGTAATAGCTTAGAGCCAATTCCAAGAACTGTGTAAACATAACAGCTTATATTTTCACTAAAAGGTCTCAATAAGTTAGTCATTTAAAAAAATAGTCTGCATATAAAGTGAAACTGGTAAGACGAGCCTTTCTTATCAGCACACAGTACCTTACTGTGAGTGTAAAAAGTAGCTCTGTACCTGGTTATATTAAGCAGCAGGTTAGCCACAATGTTATTCATGGCATCGAAGGGCTTCTCTGCCCCACAAAGCCCACCCTGTCCAGAGGCCAGTGTGCTGTCTCTCTTGACCATCAACCCTGGCTTTGGAGCATGCGATAGTAGTTTAATCTTGTTCACAATGTCCATTAAAGACTGGAATGGGAGGGTTGGGGGAAAACACAGTGTTAACGTTTGGATTTGAGCCTGTCATGCTGCAGAGATTTAAAAAGTGTGAAATGAATACAAATTTTTAAAGGTAAAAAAAGATCCAAACCTGGTTTTCCACTGGCAGGACACAGTCGGCGTGCTCTGTGAGCTCTTTCATGGCAAGGACGCTGTTATAAGGAGATGTGATGACATCATCCTCCGCAGACGGATACATGGAGGCAACAATGCGACGCACATCAGGGAACTCGTCTTCCAGCAGTCTGAGAACCCTCGTCCCCAGGCCCGAACCAGTACCTGAAATCCAGTCAGTGTAGAAACACAGCAACCGTCAGCTGTATGCATGTGAATTGTTTTCATAATCTGAGAAAGTAAAGCCAATAGTGTGAATGTTAAGAAGCATTGTTGTACATCCTGTCTATCATGCCTACTCTATTAATTGTGTGTATCAACCTTTCCTCACTCCGAGCATATAACAAGTCTCTTACAGGTTCTTCATGTCCAGATTGTTCCCCATGGATAGCCAAGAATGGGAAGAATGGTAGACTTCCTCATCAACCACCTCCATGAACGAGCGCCTAATGGCCACATGCCACGGTTATCAGTGCCTACCCACAAACGCTTGATACACGGGACGAAGAGTAGGAAGTCTGCTAAGCCAAGCCAGACAACATTCTATCTGATGTCTCCAAGGTAGACAAGTTGATCTTGCTTGGAGTCCCCGGAGTGGGAAGAAACCACCACCTATCGAGGGGTACGCTGGGAGGGAAGGGATTGGAACACAAACTACGGTAGCACACCACTGCTAACCCAGTGCTCAGAGCACAACCTGGTCTTCGCCAACACACTTCTACGTCAGACAAGCATGTTCAAATGGCCAAATGCAGATGGCCGCCCACCCTGAGCCATGGTTCTGCTCGAGGTTTCTGCCTGTTAAAAGGAAGTTTTTCCTTGCCTGTGTCGCCTAGTGCTTGCTCATGGTGGGAATTGTTGGGTTTCTGTAGTTAACTTCAGAGTAGGTCTGACCTGCTCTGTTTGGAAAGCGCTGTGAGACAACTGTTGTTGGGATGTGGCGCTATAGAAATAAAATTGAATTGAATTGAATTCAAAACATCATGGATGCAGCCTCGCTCCACACTGCGATCCGCTCCAAAGACCGCCGCCGTGTCCTGAACACCAGAGCAATGACCAGAGCAATGACCAGAGCAGGGGGAAGTCCGGGAGGTCAAAAGACAACATCAAAGCAAACCTGGGAAGGTGCCACAACTTTAGCTTTGGGAAGTCAAGGCAACGGAATGATTGGGTCCAGAATCAGCCTTTTTGCCCACCTGAAGACCCATTAGACCAGAAAGGAGTACAGTCTGGATGTCCAGACCACACATCCATTACCCCCAGACCTGATACATATGGCACATCACTACATTCAGAAAAAGATGAAAAATCCAGGCAAATACTGTCTGTTCCAACACTACAACACGCTCCTACTGTGACACAAATGAGGACTGGAGCCTATTTACTGGAGCCTATTTATTGCTTTGGTACCTTAGTTTAACAGATGATAGCTTTACACAATTCAATGGTCTTAGGTGAGGAAACACAACTCTGTAGGAGCTAAGTTTGAACGCCAGTGCCTTACTACTTGGAAGTAACCTGAACTAAGTGTGCCAGTGTTTACCTCCTCCCATTGAGTGTATGAGAAAGAAGCACTGGAGACAGTCACAGTGTTCTGCTGCCTTCCTCAGCTTGTCCACTATCAGTTCCCTGTAGGTCGAGCCGTATGTCATGTGTCCCACTGCCCTGGATAGAAAAGGTTTGGCAATGAATAGAGGGAGACCGTGCACGTTTCATTATGTTGATTCGGTTTGAAAGCTAGCCTGTAGAATACTCAAAATTAAATTTAATTTCCACACAATTACTAAACAGAAGCTAAATTAAAATAACTGTACAGTGTTCGGCATTCCCAGCCTCTGAGCTACAAACTGGGAGAATCGCACAGAGAATATAGACTTACAAATCATTCTAACACATGTCAAGTAGCGTGAGAGGGTTCACACAGGCTTTGGTTTGACCATGGTCCGTGCTGAATGAGCTATAAAATTATATTAACAAAAACTATGGGGCTACGGGAACTATAAGATGTTAGTGTCTCCTTTGAAGTCAGTGTGGAAAGATGAGTAAAGTATTATAATGATTCAAAAGTGTCCACGTCCAATTCCTTGCACCTTCATGATGAGAACACTAATTATTCAGAAGTATCAGTAAGCTGTCACAACCCTAACTGACTGGTGTGAACTCCCATTTAGTATATGGAAAATTCCGTTCCCACTGACTCACCAACCAGTCTGCTTCACGTGTAGAGGCTTTTTTTTTTTAAAGCCGTGACTGTCACGCAAATGCAAACCTGCAGGAAGCATGAACGCCAGCTCTCTAAAGGCAACAGACCTCCCCCTAAATGTTTTAAACAGACTTGAGAGAGGAAGATATTTAAAGAAAAAAAAACACAACTAAATTGTATCAGTACGTCTCTAAACTTGTTCACTTGTTTCCTTGTGTTTTCTTTCTTTTAGGTACTAACTAAGGTAACACAAATTGATATTGATTACTCTAAGACATTCTAAGAAATTCTGGCCACTTGCAATCTGACCTGCTTCTCCCCCTTTTCTTAGGACCACATCAGAACCCAGTGTGTCGTAACAGCACGTGTGAGTGATTGTAAGATGGTTGTGGTATGTTAGAAATGACAGAATGCCACAGTTGCTCCTCCCTCTGCGGAGGACACCTGCGGCGAGTCTGTCTCTCACCAGTTGTTGCCTGAACCTGACACGTCTGTGAGGAGCTGAGTGCTGTCAAACACCTCTCTCAGTGGGCCCTGCAGGATCTCGCTGACCACACCCTCCTCCATGTCCACCAGGACCGCCTGCCGATTCAAAGATGTGAGAATGTGGACGGCGCGCACGCTTGCATTGCAGAGATTTC